TTTGAGGCGAAATACCCAAAAAGGAGTTGGTGAAACAACGCAAACTTTTCCTCACCTTTAAACCTCTTGGCGCTCCGCTTCACCAGCTCCGTCCTGTTGCGTTTTTGGCCCCGCTCATTAGCTGCCTGAGTCTGGGCCACGAACTCTCTATCGAAAATAGGAAACACCTTCCGCTTTACCTTGTCCATATCTGCAGAATGATTTTCGGTGTTAAACGACAACATTTTGGACACTCGCGAGCTGACTGCTGATGGCACAGACCGACTTCTCACGGGACTATGAATGGCCAAGCCGGAGGCGACGTCGCACATTTGCGAAATTGGGGACAAAATCATATTTGCTACTTCGCTTGCATTCATTTGGGAGCAGTTGGCTGGTGTATTCGCTTCGGTTTGACTCGAGCTGGATTCTTCACTCACATTCCGATGGAACACCACTTGATGGGCTTTCCGCGCATCTCCATCATCCAGCACAGTCAGAATATTACCGATATTGGCCTCAAGCTCCGAGTCGCTTTCCTCGCTTTCCCCAAACTCTGCTTTAGGGGTCGGATTTTTGGCAAGAGGCTCTTTTGCCTCTTGACGATCGTTAGATCGGAGGCATTTAAAAAGGTTCCGCGCCTGACCATCGTCCACACTTCGGCCGGGACTTTTTGCGGCCCGTTTTTGCGGCCTCTTGCCCGAATTCTCCTTATTCTCTTCCAGGGAGGCTTCAAAGCGCCCACTCGACTCAAGATTGTCGGCTTTAGCAGCTGCAGGTTGAATGAGTTTGGGCGCAGCGCCTGTCCTCATCTGAGCAATGTCCTGGATATACTCGTTCAAAACGGCTCCTGCTTCGGGCAGTTTCCTCAACTTCCCATAGAGCACCGCCCCAGCTTTCTTCTGCTTGGGCTTTTTAATGCTGTGCCCCACGCCGTTATTAACCTGCCCCAATTGCCTGTGAGGGCGACGGGCTTGCTTGCACTTAATCGCTTTCACAGGCCTGAAGTAGATCCGCTCTTTCCTCAAGCTGCTCCATTTCTCCATAAAATCCTCCTGGTGTTTGGAGTAGAATGACTCAGTAGGCAAGGCTTTATCGGCTGGAAATAACGCCGTTCGCACCTTGGAGGGTTTCACATCGGGTTTCGAATCGATCGGCGAACTTCCCGGCGAATTCGTCGGTCTTTTCGAGCTCTTCGATTGCTCGAGCAAGACTTTTTGCTCCTCCAAAACGGGCGTTATGCACGCAACTCGTGGCGTTCTGAGCGTTTCCTCGTGCGCAAACTGCTGGCTCTGAGCGGCCCATGGTGATCCAGGCTCAGAACCCGTCCTCCTAGTTGTAGGGGTGTGTGCCCCTGAATCTTCCACCGATATAGGGATAATCACCCCCAGGTCTGAGTCCATCTCCTGGTCCTCAGTTGGGAACAGTTTGCGCCTACGCTCAGAAATAAATGGCGAACGCTCGTTGTCGCATGTTAAATGGCTTCGTCTGCTTGCGCTCATTGTTCCCTGAAAATACCATTAATTTTTACGTACAAAATTGCCACTAGTTCACTTGCTTTTTGCTTCTGCCAATAGTGGAAGCTTTTTAAGTCCAGTCGCATGCAAAGTGGGCGGAACCTCCACAAGTTCATTAGCTAGCAATTAGCACTAAGGCTCTAATGGCTAAGTCGACAGTCTCCTATTTAGCGCGGTGATAATTTCGTGTGTTTATGCTCAATGATTGGATACAACAGTTTGAGAAGTTTATTAAACGCAGTCTGAAGCCACTGAAAACCGTATACAAGGTGATTGAGATTTACGCTTGATTTGCACCCTGAATCACCCTGTATAGTGAGTAGTCGCGCACTTTGGCTTCAAAAGTGCATGTTCTGTTGAGCGGTGGGAAAAATTTGGTGGCAATTTCACCAATTTGGGGGCTTTTGCAGTTCCACTAAAAGAAAACTGTGTTCCTCCATTTGAACGGACATTTAGACCGTGAAACTTAGTGCGTAAAAGTGCAAAAATTTCCCTCCTCAACAAGGATTTAAAGCCAAAGTGCTGCCCAACCCGAATGGTTCCAGGCGGATGCCCGAAAACAGCTAAACCCTACAAGCTAACAATACAACACACAGTCAGAAAAGTCCCGAAACTAGAAAAGTTCAGCCCATGCTGGTGGAGCTCATGTAAAACTCCTCATCGTCCAGGCTGGAAGCAGTTGGGGATGGCGACAGAGGCGAGAGAACCCGCTGGTCTTGCAACGCCTGCCTGAAGTCCTGGATGGACTCGTTCAAGAGCCACAGCTGGGACAACAACGACAAGTCCTGCTGCCTCAAGCTGTACATCTCCCGTCTCAGGACAGCCAGCTGACTGTCCAGACTGCCCAGTTGCTTCTCATCCCTCTGCGCGCTGTAGCCGGAAGAGGGTTGCCGACTGGGGATGTGCTGCGCAGCTCGGATCGAGCTCGTTCGGACGGGAGTAGGAGGCGTGGGGCGCTGATGTCCCTCCACGAAGTTGAGCCCCGACAAAGACTTGGGCAGCGGAGGCAAGCCGCGCAAGTGGGACATTTTTTCCGTTTTTTGGCCTATTTATTATTGAACTTCCACTCCTGCCTGCACATCGGACACTGCTGATTCACCGTTTGAGACTGCAGCCACTTGACGATGCAGTGCATGTGAAAACAGTGCGAACACTGGCCCCACACCAATGGACAATCGTCCCCAGGTAGTTTACAGTCGGGACAGCAGCTGTCGAAGGGCATGCGACAAATGCCGCAATTATCGTCGTTGGCCACCCACTTCCAAGAAGCCACGCCACTCCACTGCTTGATGGTCACTTTCATGGTGGGGTTGAAGGCATCCTAGTCGGCCGGTTCTGAAGCACAGAAATACCATGGGAGATTCAAATGTTTCCTGGCTGATGGTGGCGCAGCCGGTGAACTCGCACGGTTTTCTTTGCATGATTGTGTGTTGTATTGTTGCAAGGCAGTTTTCCTAATGTTCCTGTGTAAAAATTACGCCCAACCGGCATGCGTGGCAGCACCACGAGCTACGCCACGATCAGTACTTGAGCCATCAGCTAGTCCTACTAATGATCGCCTCAACAGGCCTACAAATCTCCCCAAGAAAGGAGTTTACTTTTAATGGGCAATAGTTGTTAGAAGACACTCGAATGGAAACATCCTGAACGTTTCATATCAATCGTCCAACATCTTGAATTTTGCCGGCTTAGTGAATGTGTTCTTGTTGGCAGTTTTCTCAAAAAATGCTTGAATTCAAGAAGTTTTAGGTTTGCGCGGTTTGTTTTTGAATTGCAAAATCCACTGGAAGATGACCCTGCTTTTTTCGAAGTTTCTCAAGAACCATTCGAGCCACAGAATTCGTTTTGGCATCGTTGGATAGAGAATTGCCCTTGACACTTGAACAAAAATACGCTAAAATTTTGTATTAAAAAAACGGTATGAAATATTGATTTTTGCCGGTTTAGCGAATATGAAGATGAAAGTCGCTATCAAACTGCACTCCAACCTCTGAAAAATTCGCATCTTCCAAACCGAAGAAAGTTCAACAGCAACGTGAAATTTCCTCACCTTTAAAACGCACTCGACCTTAAATCTACCAAAATCTTTTCGCCCAGAATCCCGTTTATTGGCAACTTGATAAATGGATGTTTCAGAAAGAATCGTCTGTGTTTTCGCACCAACCAGCCAAATTACATTTTCTAAAACGCTCGCTCGCTAAACCAATCAATAGTTTGAAACAAGCAGATAATAATAGCAAGGACATGCATAGAAAAAATTAGTCGCATTACGAAGAATGATAGGAAATCGGGCTATTTATAACTTTTAAAATATGAGAAGCTTCCAAGCTCGGAAAGTACTGATAAAGCATCCCTGCAGTAAGCATTAAAAACAACGACACTGCAAAAACAGTGTTTTTTGCTAAGATTCAACTCACAGTCACTTGCTTCCTCGCCGTTATTTGATCTGAGGAGCTTAAAGGAATGAATAATAAAAAAGAGTGTTCAAATGAGGGTAGGCTTATCGTGACTGAACGCGATAACCCTTGCTTATCCAGGCTGATACCCTCAATATGTTGGAAATAAAGTCATAATTTGATTCTCTTTTTTTAATCTCTAAGTTTTGTTTTTTTGCATTAATCTCCGCTTAAAACAGATACATTATACGTTAATATATCCTGATGGACATGCAAAAAACAACAGTTTTTGAGCTTTTTCCAAACGAATTTTGCACCTACGTACAAAACCAACCCTAAAGGAGTATTTTAAGAGAATTTTTAAGAACATGAAACAAATATATGAACAAACCTTGAAGTTTCAAAAGCAAACCAATGAAGTGTTTACAAAGGACTGAAGATTTCCCTCAAAGATAAACCAGCTGGTCATGAGCATTAGTGAATACAGACGAACCTTTCAAGAGAAATTAAACCAAGCATCTTTATGTGATTTATTTTTAATAGGGATTAGACTAAGCTTGGGGAAAAATTAACAGTTTAGTAAGAAACCCATCGAAGAACACTAATTTTCCGGGCCATTTTCCCACATGATGTTGATTCTTGAATGCAAAAACTACCACTTATGGCCCTAATGAGTTAAGTTTCCACGTGTTTGAAAAATTGTTGCTTTGGGGCTCGGGTTCAGATACACAATGATGGTCAGCTGTGAAAAACGCAAATCTTCTTAGGCACCCGGCGGCCCCTAAATAATCATCAACAATGTAAATCTTTGGAACCGGTTCAAGCGTAAATTGCTTTGAAGAACCCAAGCCACCCAACCCTACTGGAAAGTTCGGGAAAGCTTCCGCCAACTGCCTAACAAACTTCACCCCCAAAGTGCATGTTCTTTAGCAGCTCTTCAACGCAAATACTAATTAGCTCCAACTTAGAGCTCAGTTGTTGTCATTGGAACGTTAGTTGAAAGTGGCCCTTGATTAAGGCAAAACCATGCAACTTACCAGTTTTCACGTGCCTTGCAGCTTTCTGGGGCTTTGCTACCGTCCAAGCACTAACTGTGAAGAAGATCGATATGAAAATGCGCTATAAATAGCAGGAACGACAACATTCCCTCCTTTTTCCTGGCGCCAACGTCAAAATTCTGTTGTGTCTGACCACGGCAAACGTCAACAATCAAAACAACAGCTGCCAGCTGCCAGCTGCTACCGAGACACCGAACGGATCTTTAAAAGGCTGCAATTTTCAATTTTATTGATTTATTTCGACGCTTTTTTGCCTTATTATCACACCCATGGCAATAGTAAAAACCGTCGGTTGGTAACCAGCGATAAATATAATATTATCTGCATACATAAATAATTATATGGGCCAGTTATCCAGAGCCTTATGGCGTCACGCTGGAGGATGACTCCATTGCCAACTCGGGCACTTATCATTACAATGTTGCGCAAAATTCTTCAGAATTGCATCATAAACAATTTAACAAAAAAATCCCAATAAACGATTAATCTTTGTTCCTTAAAACATTTTACCTTCCAACCTTGCAAAGCTGAAAAACCCTCATTTAATAAACAATGTTCCAACGGCGTTGGACAATGTTGCAGGGGTTGATTCATTGCGACATTAATTAAATAATTTTTATTAAATAATTGCAGTTAACATACAATAAATGCGACATGAAGATAAAAACGCATATAGAAAATACCAAGTAAACTAACTCCTACTTACATACTACGCACACAGATGAAACAAAAAATAATGGTTTTGAATACGCACAAAAATGCAATTAAAGAAGAAAAACGTAAATCCTACACTGGTGGAACCATTATTTGTTGTTGACTGTGGAAATGTTTTTTTTGCTTTTGAATTTTTAATTTTTTTTAGATTTTTCATTAATTAAGGGCATGAACAGGGACTAATATTCCGCACAACATTATTACCGATCTTAAGTAACAGTTTTACTCCCAACTTTGATCGCAATTTAACCTAATACTTATTCTTACATTCTTCGTAATCCTATGCCAGTGAATAGGTTTATGAACAAGGTGTTTAGTTCTTCTCCTAGCATTATTATTATTATTGCTAAGGGTAAATCTTTTGAAAAATCCGCGCGCTGACCCCGATCGATTCACCTCAATTTGAACGGCAAACTGGGCGAAATCGCTGACTTAATTAGCATCTGAACTGAGCTGAATAAAATTCATGTGTGTACTTAATAAACCCAAATCGGTCTTGGTTAGAAAATATGATTACGGGCCAATCTTTGCGGATTCCATTCGTCGAAACTGTAAACTTAAACCTACACCACTAATCTATTGGACTAACTACGGCAATCAAAGCCAGGAGATCCGAGGCTGGGCTGGGGATGAATTACTCCTCAATGTTGTAGAGCATGTAAACGTTACCGGGCCCCAATTGCGAAGGCAGCAGCTCAGAAGTGGAGCTCAGCACTGAGAATCCAATGAACTTGAAGGTGCGCACTAGGTTGTTATGATCAGGACGGTCTGCTGAAAAGACCTAGAAACACCAAATGTTACCAGTTAAGCGCGTTAATTTCACGCTCAAATCAACCGAGCTCTGATTGTTCTTCATTGTTTATCTCAGCTGAAGTGAAAGAAGAGCTACTGGCAGAAGGAAAACTCACCACGATCACGTGCTTGCACTTGAGCTGATCCTCTGCAGCCTCGAGCAGAGCCACAAAAGCCTGCCTACTGCCTTCACCAAGATGAGGCGGCGCAGCAACGTACAGCGTGTCTCCGCGCAGCACTGCGTCCCACGACTGGGAAGAGGCGGGGCTGCGTGGTGGACTGCCAGCGCCCGGAGTTGCGCGGAATGTTAGCCGGAGTGGGGGTGATGTAGAGGAGTTCGGCTGATCCCCTAAAAGACAACAGAAATCTCCAATTTTTCGCCCAAATCGGCCTGTTGGTGAAAACCCCCCACGAATATTCCCCTGAAGATGCAAGACAGTTTAGGGAAATGCTTACCTGGACTGCCCCTGTGTTCCCCAGGGGCATCAGGACCACCACAGAGGCCCGGCACCCAGAGACATGTTGTAGCATTCGGCCTCAGTAACGGAAGCGGCGGAGCGCTTCTTGCTCAGCAGCGCACTTCTGCAACAACAAAAACAATGCTTTTAAGTTTGCCTGAGCCCCTCTGAGCAGCGCTGCTCACTCCTCCAGGTCATGGTTAAAATGAGGGAAGGTTAGCGCATCCATGAACACTGTTGGACCACCAGAAAACAGCCAACATTCACCAGGCAGCGCCAAAATGGACTGGATTGTTTACTAGCCAGATATTGGAAGGCGAATAGAATAAATAATTTGTGACGTCAGGACAATTTATTTTGTTTGTTATGATTTAAGACGATTTAAGGTGAGGTGATTTTTTCCCGGTATTTTGTTGTAACCGTAAACTCTTTCGATTTTATTAATATAGTGGTGGACTTTGACTGTGTTAACTTAATTAATACTGATAAAATTATTGGACTTATAAAGTTTGATTTAGAAGAACTTAACGATGTGTTTTTTAACGTTACTCTATATATTATGTACACCAAATGGGGCGGTTTAATAATAACAATGTATCATTGAGCAAATAGATAGTTGGCTTAAGTTATTTTCATATGTGCAATGTGCAAATTTAATTAAAACAAATTATCAACGATTTTTTAACTTTAAAGTAACAGAAAAAATAAAATTACTATTGTAAGAGTCAAGAAATATTGAGCAAACGAATTGCTGGTATCTTCTGTTTCCATTTACTTTTTGTTTAACATGTCACACTAAGCAACACATGCAAATAATTGCCTTTTTACACTATTCCAACAAAAGGGGAATACCAACAACGTAGTTCGACTTTTTAGTAGGTAGTACTATGTGAATTAATTTCATTTTATCAGGCGTATAAAATACTAGGATTTGTAATCAGAAATTTTAAATATTTTAACAATAATACAACATTTTTTATTGCATTTTTAGTATTTAATGTCATAAGCACTCTTACTTATTATTGCCACTTGAGTGATGTTTATTATAAGTTTTACCGGTAAATAAATCTATGGAATGTATTTACTAATTTGAAAACTATCCAAATAAATGTATCGATGTATGCAAGGATATTCAATATACTGTCAAATATACAATAAACCAAACTTTTTAGGAGATTTATTTAATGGTCTAAGTTGCTTACTTAAATACTACGAATACAAAATCGAATACCTATTTAAGTTGATCAGAATAAATCATTTGTAAATTGTTATAAATTAAGACATACTCATATTTATCACTGTCTTTCTTTGTGCTAATAATTGGCAATGCTATTATTTTTGTTCCAACAAATTCAAACAATCCCTCTTAAAAAATTAAAAATTACTAGCCAAGGGCGTATAAAATGTACCTATGAATTTCTGTACGATACTATTTGTTTGTCATTTTTATCTAGAGCTTATATAAGGTTCGAAATGCACAAGAATGAAAAAAAATGATTGGCGGACTCGCGGTTGTTTATCTCGACAAATTATAAAATAATTATCATCAAACAATAAACAAAACCACCTAACCTTAAATCTTAATAATTATTAAAGCCAATTTCTATTAGTTTAATGCCCACAAATCGCAAAACTTATTCAATTGATTATTCAAAGCATTCGTGCATCAAAAAAGTATATTTTTATGGGTAAGATTTGCCAATTTTTGCTGCGTAGTGTAGGTATAAACAGCTAAAATTCGTCAGTGATACGAAAATAAACGGTTTGACGATGAATGTCGTAAGATAAATTATACCTACTAAGAACAGTTCAGGAAAACAATGTAAAATTTCGCAATTTGCTGATGCTTTGCTTGCATCAACGCACCGCATTTTTGAACGCGCCAAGTTGCGCTTTACGAAGCTGCAAAACAACTCAATCACTCCCTGATTCTAAATTAAACTAAACTTTTTTATGTCGGCGCGCTTGAGTTTATTTCTACTGAATCATCAAAGTTTAATTGGCACTGTTTCTTCTACTTGAGCCCTTTACCTCTTTAGAATATCGAAATTATGTTGAAGCTAATATTTTCCAAAATAGTTTATTGACTGCTGAATTGGATGGAACTTCTTAGAAACCGAGACTAAACAATAAAGAGTTACAGGTGGAAACAACATGGAAAATGAATAATTGAATTCGTCAATAAAACCGCTTAATATTTACTGATAAAGCAGAGAGAAAGCCTGGCAAACCGAGGAGAAAACAACGGAAAATCACCGAAGGAAGTGGGCCTACTATATCGAGAAATCATGTCATAATCTAACAAGAACGCAGTTGTATTATGTAGCTTGTACATTGTAACAAACGAACAATTGGCTACTTTAAACAGAAACTTCAGATTTCAGATTATATTAAGTGGCTCAAAAGCTCTTCTGATAAAAGCAGTGACGCACATGCACCATCACCTGATTGCCGTAAAATAGAACTGATTATATTTGCACTTTTTGATATACAATAAAATCATGCACGAACGATAGGGGCTCATTTTTAGCAGGTTTTCTGGCAAAAAATTCAAACAAACCGCCCCGCAGACTTCGCTGCGGCCTACAGGCCGTTGAATTTTAATTTCCTTTTAAGGAAATTATTATTTCTGATTCGTTCACAAAACATGTTTTCAACAGAAAAACAAAAGTCCTCTGCAAATACTTAAAACTTATCTAATCTCTATCATTAAACCTAATTTGTTTTTGCTAAAGTTGTCTTTCATGAGTTAATGTCATTTTAATATAATACGATTAATATTAAACACAGTGCAGTGCTTCAAGCAGAAAAACGGCCGTTTAAATCTACACATACGTGGTTTAAAACAGTAAATATGAGATCTTTACTGTGGAAAAAACATCAAAACGCTCTCAATTTCTACGTAGGAATTTGCCTTTTTATGGCATCAAGCTTTACGTTCATTCTTCAACCATAAATCGCTTGAAGCTACGCAGTTATTATTGATGCACCTACCGATAACAGATAGCCAAACAACCGAATCCGGCCTACCGTATCGATAGTAGGCTTTAAAGCGGCTCAATTCAATAGTGAATCTTTTCAACTCGCGTAAAGACTCACAGTTCATGCGGTCAACTATTTAAAGGGTTTGACCTCTAGAAATCGTGACGTTGGCTTGTTTTTGTTATCGCGTACCAGAAAATACGTTTAACTAAACAGAAAGTTCGTCGTTCCAAACTGTTCTGAAGGTTGATTTGACCACCTTGGTTGGAAAAAAACATCAAAAAAAATCAAACAAAACTACTCACGCATTGCAATTACTACTCATTATGGCTGGCATCTTTAAATTATTATCGTCACAATTAAAATCACTAGTAAACACTTCGTTTAAAGTCATAAACATAATTAAACTGAGGGGAACAGAAAAGGAAAAACTTCTCACAATTTTCACAAACTTTCTTTTGTAGGAAACACTTTCCGAAGAAACCTAAGCGAATGGCGACTGCTAACAGACTGACATTCACATGGAAACACATAGAATGTCATGAAACGTGGATCGAATTCACAACACTGATGCCAAATGAAGCGAATAATACGCAGAAGGCGTGGCGCATGGGCGCGGCTGGATCTGTTTAACGACCAGCTAGATCGATAAACTGTGATTCATAAACGGGCACAAACCAGGCGTGATTGGACAAGTTAATTCTTGCTTGAGGAAAATCGTATTATTATAATGAATACAACGTTTTTTGGAACAATGACATAAACAGTTTGTAGTCGGTCAACATAACCCACCTAAAAAAGTGAAGTGTTTTCAAACGAAAAATCGCGATTCCAATAAAAGAAATAATCTACTACTGCTGCAAAGGCACACAACAGTATGTATGTAGTACCACATTCCAGAAACTCGAACCCACGGCAATCTAACCTGCAATGATCCGCTATGCCATTCTGTTGGTTATCTCGCTAATTCTCTTCCTAAACGGCTTCTTCCCTCTACCCCATACGAATTACAGCTTCCCTAATCAGCCTCCAACGCACATCAACTCGTTTAACGTCACGGACCAGTACAGGCCCCATTTCACCAAAACAGTCCTAATAGTGATTGACGCGCTAAGATGGGACTTTGTGACGGCGCAACTGATGCCTTTAGCCGCAGGCCTGATGAACAGCCAGGGCTGTTTGAGCAAAGTATCGGTTGAAAGCCCGACAGTGACTCTTCCCCGAATTAAAGCCCTCACCACTGGGAGTGTGCCACAATACATGGATGTAGTGATGAATTTGGCTTCCTCCGAAGTTCTGGCGGATTCTTGGCTGCATAGCGCGAAGAAAAAGGGGCTGCGCATAGTGTTTTATGGCGACAACACCTGGGAGAAGCTGTTCCCCAACGTGTTCACCCGATCGGAGGGCACAACATCGTTTTTCGTTTGGGATTTCACTGAAGTGGACGACAATGTTACCCGAAATGTTAATCTGGAGTTGGAAAGAAGCGACTGGGATGTGATGATTCTGCATTATTTAGGTAAGGAAGCTGCTATTCTCTGTCTTCTTACATGTTTCCAAGGCTTATAACAACTTTGGTGTCTGATCGCCCCAGGGCAAGAACGCTCGTGTTACGTCTTTGCATATTTCTGATGTGATTATTTGTAAGTTTTTGTCCTCAGTGTCTTTATGCGTTGCAATGGATAACCGTTTTTAGGTCTAGACCATATTGGCCACGTTTTGGGCCCATTTCACCCGAAAATGACCGCAAAACTCAAAGAAATGGATGACATTATTTTCAGAATCCAGCAAACAATGGCCAATGATACCCTAATTCTGGTGACTGGCGATCATGGAATGAGAGATGCTGGAGGTAACAAACAGCCCAAACTAGAGCGAAATTTCCTCATTCCCTCATGTTTAGGGCATGGAGGGACATCGTCTGCAGAAGTCACTGTTCCATTAATAGCCATTGGGCACGACTGCGAAAACGCTTCATTCCAGCAGACCGACATTCCGGCCAATTTGGCTGTTTTGCTTGGGATCAACATTCCGGTGACCAGCATTGGAAAGTTGGAGAAGCCGTTTTTGCATCGTCTACATTTGAGGGAATATCTATACGCCCTTAGATATAACGCGCAGATACTTTTGGAGAAAAGCAGTCTGTGCAGAGGTGCTTTCCTCAATGCAACGGATTTTCATGAAAACTACCTAAAGCACCAACGGGCTGCTGATGGGGAACTGGCTAAGCGCCTGTATGAAGAGTGCTCAGACAAAATCACTGAAGAACTGTTCCTGGCCTCCAGCAAACAGGAAATGCCCCTGCTGTTCGTGGCCCTGTTATCAATGTTTTACCTGTTTCTACTTCTGCTGAAGCCGTCCATTCTAAAGCAAAGTAAACTGGAATTCCTGCTCCATCTTTGCTTAGTCTGCCTGCAACTTTTCGCCGCTTACCAGGTTCTAGTTTACATAACAGGGGCTATTTTGGCTGGTTTAGCTCTGTTGAAACTCAGACGTCTTCTTCGCGTTACAAAGTTCCCTCGAGCAGTGCCCGACTTTTCAGTTTTAACCTGCCTAGTGCATCCACTCACGTTTATTTCTACAAGTTTCATTGAAGAGGAGCACTATTTCTGGATATTTGTCAGCGTTTCTTTCATTTTAGGCCTCATTCTTCAGCGAAATGGGCTTCTTCCTGTTAATAACGCCAAACTTCTTCTGCTGCTAGCAGGATTGAGATTCAGCATGGATTTGAATTCGACAGTGGAAAACTCTGTGCAAAGCCAAAGCAATTGGGCAAATCTCTTGAACTATGAAGAAAGCCTGGTTTACTTTCACGCCTTTTTCGTGTCCAGTTTGGTGTTAGTTTTGGCGACGTTGTACTTTGAGCAGGAAAAAGGGGGAAACTTCAGTTCGCTGCTGCTCAGCGCTTTGACCCTATGCCTGATATATCTGCTGAAAGTTTCTGCACATCACAACACTTGGCTGGGCAAAGCGATTTGGGCTTTGATAGTCCTTCAAAAACTTTTTCCAAGCGTTTCCTGGACGGAAATTTGGATACTATCAAGCACTTTGCTAATTAAACCGCACAACGTTGTGCTAATTCCTCTAGGCGTATACAGTGCCAATCAACTATCGGCTGTGATAAAAGACTGTTTCTCCTTAACGGTGGCAAGTTATTTGCTCTCAAATTGCTTCTATTTCCTGCAGGGGCACAGAAACTCCTTAGCAAGTGTCGATGTTTCCATAGGATACACTGGCTTGAATGACTATTACCCTTTTCTGGTCATTTCGCAAGTTTTAATGCACACTTACACGTTTCCAGTATTATTCCATTTGATACTGTTCCAAAAGGTTTTCGAGCAGGATTTTGGGGCGAAGTTTTGGAACACCATTTTAACCATAAGGACCTCGGTATTGTTTTTCACCGGCCTAGTAATGATCCTTTTCAGACACCACCTGTTTATTTGGTCAGTGTTCGCCCCCAAGCTGTTCATAGAGAGTGTGCATACAGCCTTTATGTTTATTGAACTTAGTTGTTGGTACTTGAACAAGTGTGTTAAGAAGGTTTTATGCAAATAAACTATTTGCCATTACCTTAGGATTAGTATCACTTAAACTGTGGCGTTTAGTCTTCGGGTTTGTCGGGTGGGGGGCCGCACGGTTGCAGCATTTTCTCCATTAAGTTGAACCGCACTCGGGCCTTGGATTCGTTCTCGGATAACGCAAAATAGCTGAGCAGATCTGCATGTCCCAAGTAGCTGGAATAGCTGTCTCTATGCTGGTTTACCAACCATTCAAATTTGGTGGTATCCGCATGGCCAGTCCCTATGTACTTTGACTGGAGGTGTTCCAATTGACTGTGGATATTGTAACGGTCACCCATTCTGTGATTTTATCTGGGAAAAAACTCTTTGTTAACTTTCTCTGCGACGACAAATACAAATTTCCAATAATTTACCTTTACAGTTGATTGTTTTTCTAATGTTTGCCTTGTGCGTTGACAACAAATGACAGAAATGGGAAAAAGTGGGGTTGTGGTCCCAGAGGGTCAGAGTGTTGAGCGGTACAATTCGGCATCTATGGATGGAGGCTTGCAAAAAAAACTGGCTGGAAACTTTAATTTTCAGACTCGCGCTTAAACAGCAGCAAAAAATCAGCATTCAGTGCGATTTCAATGACAATTTCTCAGTTCTAAGCTACAAACGTTCGCTATGTTAAGGAAAATTTTCAGGTTCGCACTTAACACCCTGTAGAAAAAAAACTAAGTATTTGTCCCATCAAACAAGGGGCAAGGGGCAGTTACATGGTGTATACAGAAATAACATGAGAATATAAATTGAGCAACAAATGTCTATTGCGAAAATACAAAAATGTTGGCACAACCACAAACATACGTAATTTAAACAGTAAAAATAATCGAGTGAACATCTAAAATACTAAAACCGGACACGAGAAAACCATCGGGTATTTTTCCAGATAATGTTAAAATGAGTGGTAAGTGTGTGTGTATAGATAGATAATTTTAATAAAAACTTTCAATCACAAATAGTAGCTATATACAACGGACGTATCGAGTTACATTTCATTGAACATTCAGAGAACACCTTTAAGCTTAACTGGATTAGTTTTGGTACGTGTTTTATAAAATGGACACAGTTTTTGAGTATACAGTTGCCTTAAATCACACTCTAGAAACTAATATTAATATTGATATTATATTTGCAGGCAAGGTGTGTTTTTGGGCAAATTTCTTTGCAAAACAGACAAAATGTTTAAAACGCGCCGTAACATTCGTCCTATTCAAATAGTCGGACTTATGAACAATTTAAATTACTCGTTTACTAGTAGTTTAAACTGTGAACTTACCTTCAACTATTAATTATTGCTTAACACCTTGCATGCAGAATGAGCCAAACATGAAAATTCCTTAGAATCAGCAAGAAATGTTCGGAGTTTTCCATACAGTAGCTGCCCTTTACCTACTCACACATATTTACAAAACTACTAGAGTACGAATAGCTGTCCAAAGATGAGCCATTATAAAATATACAGTAGAACTAAATGAAGAAAACAGGGGAAATAAAAAAATAAAGATAATGGCACATTTCCACAGCGTCTCGAGCGAAAGTGCTGCCTGCTAAAAGCGCTTAAATCTGTGTAAAACAGATAGTAAAAAAATATAGTTTATGAGTATAAAAGACGTAGATAATTCGAGGTATCGAAACCGTGTTCAGAAGGAAAAGCCAACTTAGTCTAAATTATGCATTACGATGAAAATCCCACATTGGAGAAAGTATTTATACACAGTCTTCGTTGTTCTCCAGATATATAAATATATGCTGCTGCTTAGCTTGAACTGCAGGCTCAGTGTTGAACCTGAACATATAAAAAGAACGAAAAAGCGCCCCAATTTCTTTAAAAAATTAAACAGCTCTCGGCATTCGCGGACAATTTAAAGCTCTTCTAGCGGAAGCGGTGGAGTTTCAGCTGAGGGATGCTCCAGCAAAACAGCTTTTTCCTCCCGGCCACTAGTAGAACCGTTGTACATGGATTCGTAGACAGGATTAGCGAAGTTTCCAGACTAAAATAACCACGCGCTCGATTAGCTCTAACAATTCCTCATTTACATTTAGTTAAGTTTTCCGGGCTTTGAAGCCGTGGTCTATGGGAATTTCTTCCTGACGTTTCGGCCACAACTGCGCTGGACATTATCAAAGGCGATGAGGCAGTGGGCGAAGTGATCTCCCGTGCTTTCCGAC